AAAAAATAAAAGCTACGGCGTGCAAAATCCAGTCTGACTTTTGGTAGTTTTGCAGTTTTCCCATTGTTGCGAGTGTTTAAAGCGTTATGATGTAATCGGTGAAAATACTCTTTAAATGGAAAGCATGCAGTTCCATTGAGGCAGTCAAATACAAAGCAGCACGCTCTTTTTTGTAACGATTTTGTTACGATTTAGCGCTCTCCTACCAAAAAGCGCCCACACCCATTTCTAATAAGCGCTCATCCCCTCAAGAGCATTTTCTTTTCCAATAAACGCCCCACAGCGAAAGTGACATTCAAGCCGCAAACTCATTCGTCTCATATTGATGAGGCGAACGTTAACTAATTCTGAGGTCTGCTTTTTCATCTGAATTATGACTATCCATCAGCACCCATTTTGTTACGGTTCTTGCGATCGAGTATCTGTTATTTTTCACCTTAAGCACTGAGTCACATTCAAATGTTTATTTTCAAACAGAAATAAGCGTCCAGTCGCTAATAAGCGACCCGTCTCCAGTTAGCGCCCTCTTGAGTTGCCAAACGTAAATTAACTCCCTGGGCACTTGATAATTCATAAGAAAAGCTGTCAGGGTATATAACCAGAATATAATTTTGTTACATACGTTAATGTAGCTGTCGTAGACTGACTTCAAATAAACTGATATTCCTCAGTTAGTGGGGCAATTTGAGGAAATCCAAGTCAGATAAACTTAGAGGACGCGTGTAAGTTGTTTCAACGTCTTTAACAATCTTTAACGGGATCAGCTTCATGAGGTAGGCAGAAATAGGAGTTGATTATTTGATGGCTCGCTTGATTCTAATAGTTTGTTATTAACAATGACTGCGATTACGTTCATTAGCTAAGGTAAAACCTTCTTTGGCCTTTTCCTCTGGTGTCAGCTGGTGATAGGGTTATTTGAGGTGTTAAAATCCCTCTTCTAATGGTGGCCACAAAGTCAAAATGGTGTTAGACTGGAGTCAGGGCAGAAATAAGTTCTATGAAAGCTTAACTGTGTAATGTTCTTTACACAACGCTCTGATGGTGGATTCATGGCAACACCAACCTGCCGGTGCCACCATGTTTTGTCAACACGCTCATTTGAGCGTAGCAGCTTACAAGTGGAACATATTTCACGCATCAATGTACTTCAACGAGTACGCTCTGATTAATGACAAGAAAATGCTCTTTTGTGAAATTAGCTGACCTAGAACTCAAACGGGTCACTAACTGATACGCTGCCAGGTTGTAAAAAAAAAAATCTCGCCCGTTGCCAGGTTCACATGCCTAGCAACTTAAACTATTCTATTCAAAGCAGAATAGAAATGTTACGATCGCCAGAAAAATACTAGCTTATGTCTATAATCGAGTATTAATAGAAATACAAGCTTACAAATTGATAGTAACACTTAATTTTCTATCAACAACTATGAATTTTAGATGAACGTAAAACTGTAAATCATAAGTGCTAGATAATTACAAATATGCTAGAACTTAATTACTTTGTAGTAAAGTGCTGAAAAATAAACTGTAATTTATCTTCTTTGGGAAATTCTTTCGCATTTGGATTAAATAAAATCTGACTTTAATTTTCATGAAGCAGTGATTTATCTTCTGTAAGGTAACCCTCCAATTCGATATTTTTGCCTTTCGCGCCCTTTAGCAATGTTTGCCATATAAGGAAGACAGAAGTGTCTCATGTCACACCTCGGAACGAATCAAAACGAGGCTGGCTACATTGAGTAAGAATAGAAAATGAACGAAACTTAATGTCAAATGGATCCAGGGTAAAACGTCTATCCCCAATGTCTAACACATCGATATGCAAACTTCTGTGGTCGTCTTTTTTCTGGCCTGGTTTGGATTAGCGACCACAAACGAAGAAAGCGACGAAGAAATCCATTTCACCAACTCGTGGGCGGTCCATATCGACAACGGGGACCTTGACGCCGTGAACAGTATCGCTCAAAAACACGGATTTATTAACCAGGGGCAGGTAAGCACATCATACATGGAATACGCCAGCACCTTGTCAAAGATGCAGCGATTCGAACTTGTGCCGAGCTATTTTGTTTTTACAAGAGCGTTAATCTTGATCTTGATAATCGAGCGCTTGACTTATTTGTTTTGTCGGGTCAAACGGCAAGACCAGTTGCGTTTCCGCTAAGGCTGGTAGTTTTTATTATGAAAGTAAGGACGGTACCAGAACTAGTGTCAGTTATCAGAGATAAACAAATGTCAACCTGCGCGTGTTGATGTTTTGATTTTATTTCGCAGATAGGAAGCCTTCCAGGGTATTACCACTTTGTGAAACACAACGTTCGAGAGCGATCGCGTCGAAGTTTGGACGATCATATCGAGACCTTGTTATTGGAGCCAAGGGTAAGTTAGATCCGTATATATTTTTTCATTATCCTCTTACTGGTGGATTTTAATTTGATCACGGCATCGCTACCGGTAGACACTTAAAAAGACACTCCAAAATCCGTTTGCGATTTGCGTTTAATAAATTGTTGGCTTGGGGTAGATATTTCGTAAAATACTTTCTATGTTGAAGCAAATTTTGTCCGAGTCACGGTCTGTGGGTCTTTTCAAACTGTTCAGTGACTGTAGTGACACCAGCTTGTGAAGTGCAATCGTTAAGAGAGCGGAACTCTTGTCACCGAGAAACTGGACAAGAAAATTACCGACTCGTAAAATTTGCCCCAGGTTATCTGAAAACTCTGTCTCTTTGCTTTGATTCTGGCCTGGAGATTTATTTGCCTGTCTGGTGGCATTTAAAAGCAAAAAGAAAGATGGAAACTGCGTTTTCAATTGTTTGACTTGTAACAGTCAATTATCTTATTAAATTCCCGAGGCATGTCAAGTTAGCTAAAAAATTATTTTCTTAGATACTTGTTACCATCGCGTTCAGAGGGGCCCGCCTGGGATTGAAGTCTGCTGCTTCCATGAAGTAAAAGCGTGCTATGACTAATAATGCAGTCAAATAGGATTATGCAAATTACAGTGAATCGCGTTACCATAGAGAATCTAGATCTGCTCAAGCAAACAAAGCGAAAAAGATTACGAGAACTATTTAACAATGGAATCGGCGCATTTTTTGAAAGTATTTAATTTGTGATTTTACCTGATGAATTGTGATATTAGCGTTGATTTTAGTTGTTAGGTTCTAATTAGTTATTAGGTGGAATACCTGTAAACTAGCTCTCAAGCTAAGCGTATATCAACGCCAAATAAAGCATTCATTCATTCATTTCTACATTATAGTTTTGCATTTCTCATATACATATAGCTTGCATTCCCAGACGCGTAACTTAGCAGCTTAAAGGTGGATATCTACTGCTATACTCTCTATCAGAGTGTGATAAATATGACATAAGAACGGAATGCCAAGCCTCGCCTGACGCTCGGACTCTCTCTAAGGACGTGCAATTATCCTCGACAGAAGTCGTTTTTTTTCCCTTTTCCACTGATATAAGATGGCCATTCCGTTTGAAACTTTAAATCGTTAGAGCAGTGAGAATCGTGAACAATTTAGTACTGTATATGGAGTAAAAACTCCCTCCTGAAAACATTTTCGATACTGCAACCTATCGAGGTTTAGCTAAAACAAAATACGAGAAAGTGGTTTGGTTATCAAAAGCACAGTACAGATACCAGACTATAGCAGCCGGGGTAGAAATGCGCACCCTCCTCTCTGGTTTCCCGTTATCTTTCTTTTACTGGTTACTTTGATAGTAAATAAAGACGAAATCGGCTGGTTAGCATTGTCTTCAAGTTGCACTGATTACCAAGTATAAATCTGATCCCAAGAAATGGTTATTAAACAAGTTCCACTTTCTATCACGACGCTTCAATAGATCGAAATATAGAAATGCCAGATCGTAACAAGTCAGGTGTATGTATTCATGCCGTTTTCAGCGACTAACGGTCAAAAATATAAAAAAACAGACTTTAAAAAGACGATAGGTTTTTCTGAGTCTGTCAAGTGCTCTTGACAAGATGGTATACAATTAGTATACAATAACAATTTCATCTCCCAGGTAAAATGGGTAGAACAACAAAGGATTCTGGAAAGGAGCAAGCGTGACGTCATTCCCGGCGAGGATGAACTGGTGCAGAGATCAGTGGCAAGGTTGAGGCGCGATACCGCTGTCACTATCCGCGATCCTTTCTTCAAAGATCAGTGGTATTTGGTGAGTAATTATGTTTCGTCTATCTGGTACCAAACAATAACAGGACATAATGAATTCAAAAATGTGTTTATTCAGACAAGAATAAAGATGGCTCGATTAAAAACCTGAACTTTCTAACAGAAGCATAAAAGACGTCGTTTTTTCTTCCATGGGCTTTCAAGCATTGCATTACGTTTAAAATTGCGCGCAAAACAACGAATGAACGAAATTTTACATACATATTGCTTTTGCCCGCAAAATTTGATTCCTAAAAATTAGTATCTTTTTATATGGTCAGCAATAGAATTTTACCTCAGTATCTGTTATGACTTGGATGACCAGCTCACAAACTATTTTTCTTAATTTACCTGATCTTTAGCAAAATATTGGGCAATCTTCCGGGCCCACCGGTGTTGACATCAACGTGTTACCAGTCTGGGCTCGAGGTTATTCTGGTAAAGGTATCGTGGTATCAGTATTAGATGACGGTGAGTATAAGGTTCTCTTAAAAGCTAGCTGAATCAGCTGAAACAGTCTGTGAGAATCTTAAGAGAGATGTGAAGGAAGTTAGTATGTGAAGGAAGCTAGTAGTCTTAGTAGTCCTGTAACTAGAGCAAGTTTTAGTATCTTAAGCTTGTTCTCACTACGACATAAGCATAAGCATTAGCACGAGTAGAAAAAAAGTTTCTGTTCTTCCTGAGCTTTTTGCTTGTGCTTAGTCAAGTGAGAATGCACTGCTGTAAGCATAGGCATAATGGCCCAAAAACGAAAGCCCGCCATCTTGTTTTAATGTTTCGAAGAGGTATGGAATCGAAAATAAGGCAATTATCCATTCTGCGCAAGCCTACGTGCTTATACTTGTGTTGTGGGCGTCCTCACTACCGTTATGCTTATGCTTATGCTTATGCTTATGTCGTAAGGAAAACCAGGCTTTAAGCAAGGTGTGCTTCGTTGGCGGAGGATCCCCCTTTCAAAGCCAGTCCCCATTTCAGCAATCTAGTCCATCCTGCCTGTCAGTAGATTGTGAGGGGCACGAGCAACTGGCCCATTTACCTTTCTAACCTAAAATTTGGATCCAGGAACCAAAATCAGCTGAAGACTAATACGACTCCCCTTCCTCTCTAGTTGTGACACTATACTTGTGAGTTATTCGTTGTGTATTAAATTTGGCAGATTTCTCAATATGCGGGGATATTGAGAATAAAGGGAGAATATGGTAGGCCGGTTAATCTAGTTTACTTGAATACACCCGGTCAGGCATTGGATGTTTACTTAGTGAAGCATAGAGTATAGCTCTAAGCCCTACAGAGTTAATAATATTGATATGTAAAAGAACAATTTATGCGTTGGAAATTAATTTTCAACCAACCTACCTTCCTTCTGCAATTTTCATTTTTATTTCATTTTCTAGGGGTTGACCACACGCATCCTGATTTGAAGAATAACTACGTGAGTTAGTCATTAGTGCCTCTCTACGACTTTTTATAGATTCTATTAGTGATTCTAAAAAGTCACTGCAGAGTGCACGTGAAGTGGTCCTGGTATTCTGAGACCTTGTAATCTGAATTGGTGCACGATCTAGTGATTCTTGAAATCAAAAAGGCTATGCGAGTGTTATAGTAAAAAAAAAAATCATCGTTTTTTTCAGGATCCTGACGCAAGCTTTGATTTCAATGATTTTGATGGAGATCCAAGACCACGAGACGAAAACTTGGAAAACTGGTAACAAAGCAACTTCTGAATTTTACTACTTGATAAATTCAAAAGGTGTCTTTAAGTTCTAAGGAGTGCGGTAGTTTTGAAGATTTTATACAATAGTCTAAATCATTCTTTCTACAAATCGTGTTTCCTCTTGCGGCAGCCACGGCACAAAATGTGCAGGTGAAGTAGCGGCTCAGGCGGATAACGGCATTTGCGGAGTGGGAGTGTCATTCAACGCCAGTATTGGAGGTATGGTCTTCATATACAGTTGAGCTCCGCTATTTCGACTTCTCAGGGGACGCAAAAAATAGTTCGAAATAGCAAGAGTTCGAAATAGCAGAAAGTAAATGACTGAAGGGCGGACCCGAGGGAAATGGCTTAGAGTTCGAAAAAACGGGGAATTCGAAATAGCCGAGTTCGAATTAGCGGGGTCCAACTGTACTAATTATTTTTCGTTATACAATAGTGATTTAATTATTGACCCACCTTACGTTTTTGGTCGCAGATTTGTGATTTATTTTTTTGTGAAATATTCAATGTCTTTTTGTGAAATGTTCATGGCGTTGTTGTGCTCTGTGTTGCCGAGTTGAGCAGCGAAAATTAAAGTTTGCTCTTGTATGTTTGGAAACTGTCGTAAGCCTGAATCAAGCACTTTTAAATATAAAGGACTAAATGAAAAAAGTTTCAAACTTCCCGTAATTATTACATCCGTAGTCATCAGGTGATATACAGGAATGCCATAGGTTATCAGACACTTATCATATAATTGGTTTCGTAGATTCAACCAAAACTCAATTTATATACGTAACTCAAAGTGACGCTGCCTTGTTCAACAGTGGCGGGTCATGTTTGTCACATTTTGATCAACACTTGATTACAAAAAAATGACAGTTTGCTTCGACACAACTGACTGATGCTATAACATTTTTGTAGGTATTCGCATGTTAGACGGTAAAGCCACTGACACACTTGAAGGAAGCTCACTTAGTTACCGCTCAGACTACATCGACATCTACAGCTGTTGCTGGGGCCCAAAGGATGATGGGAAGAGATTCGGCAAGCCTGGTTATCTAGCAAGCAAAGCGCTTCAAATTGGTGCTGATCGGGTAAAGAGATTTGCTGGGCCATGAGTGTAATGGTAAAAATGATAATAGGGGACTTTGGATCGAGATAGAGTACGAGAACTACTTTTCAATTCTAGTTTGCAGGCCTTTCCAGTCACATTATCATGTCACATAACCATCTCATCTCATGAGCTACTCTCTCTACCTAAAACCAACATCAGGAGCGAAGGATCCGGAAACATCACTGGTTTGAAATTCGAAAATCATACACAGTGTACTCCAAAGGTCCATGGTCAAGGCCGGACACCTGAGGAACGATCAACCAAACACTGTGAAAGCTAACACACATGTGAAGAGCCTATTAACACGATACCACATGTACGTAAAGCTTACTTTTGCGAACATCATTTCATATTTTGTTCTCCAGGGTCGCGGCGGCAAAGGTAACATCTACGTGTGGGCGACTGGTAACGGAGGTCTGACAGATGATGACTGTAACTGTGATGGTTACACCACCAGTATATATACCATATCGATTGGCGCCATCAGTGACCACGGTCTTTCTACGTATTATACAGAGACGTGTGCGTCCACCCTGGCTGTTACGTTTTCTGGAGGATCGCACAGAGAAACCGCAGAGAACAAAGTGGTAAGTTGCTTCAACAAAGTTATTGTGAGAAATGCCTGCCTAATAAACTCCTGAACAGACTACTGACAAGCCACCAATTAAATCCGAGTATCGTTGCACGGAACATCATCTATTTAGACTGGAATGTAATTAACTGTCGCACGCCACATTTTTCACGTCCGTTGCACCTTGCTGTCTAAGAGTTTGCTTGATTCATTTTCTTGAAGGTCACCACTGACCTACATCACAAGTGCACTGAAGTATTCAAGGGAACGTCATCAGCAGCACCACTGGCCGCAGGGATGTTGGCTCTCGTCTTGGAAGCAAAGTAAGTTAAAATAGCTCAAATGTTGACGTAGTAAATATCTACAATAGTTTACGAACGATCGAATTTTGGAAGACTCAGATGGTCGTCAAATGGTTTAATAGACCAATCAGAATTCAAAAAAAAGTAAGAGATATTCTATTGGCATTGGTAAGCACGAGGAACGTTACGTAAGCCAAACCAATGCAAACTAATGCATGCTACGCCGCCGTTAATACACAGTTCGAGAACAAAAGTAAGCTCAAAACCAACTGAAGCCCACGAATCTTCTAAATGTCATCATGCAAAATTGCAGGCCCTTTCCAAAGGCGCTTTTAGCCTCTCCTTCAAATATAAGATTAGTTCTAGTCTAGCGCCTTTATAAACAAGTTTGATGAGCAAGAGGAGTTACCCTTAAATAAAAACCATTTCCACATGAAATTGTTTGCGACAGGCCTCATTTAAAAACAAGCGGCATTCAGTATTGAAATTTAACCTGCCGTTACATTTAAGTCCTAAGCTAACATGGCGTGATGTGCAGCATGTTATCGTGGAGTCGTCTCGGGTAACAAGCCCGCTGGACGAGGGATGGAAGACCAACGGCGCAGGAAAACGCTACAATCACAAGTTTGGCTTCGGACGATTGGACGTGAATAAAATGGTTGACAAGGCGCTGAAGTGGAAGAATGTGGACAAGCAGAGAGTATGCCATGGTGCTGCACACAATACAACAAGGTTTGTAGAATTCTTTCTGTTTTTTTAAAGTCCTCCCGATTTGGGATAATGGATTGATGTGGTACCTCTATGAACAAAGGAAACAAATTCATGGATATCTAAAAAAATAAATAAATAAAAATACAAAGAGAGTAATTTAAAGCAACTGTAGGAATCCTTGATGCCGGTTAGTAAGTAAGCAAGTAAGTAACTTAATTTAACCAGGGTAGCCCAAAGTGTCTTAACCTAAACCTTAATTCAGGAAAGAAAGAAATCAACAAATCATAGGTTGAAACAAGGGAGTGCAGAAGAATCCCAGCCGTGGCGTCTGTTCTGAAGAAGACGCAAAATTTCTGTTTATCTTGTAAACAATGATCGTTAAATTTTAACCGACAGATTTATCCCAGCTTCTGGAAGCCTCATTCTATCAGCAAACACGTCAGCATGTTCAAGCACCGCCTCTGAAATAAGAAGACTAGAACACGTTCAACTTAACGTCACTCTGCAGCACCGTCACAGAGGAGATATCAGTATTACGCTCATCTCTCCATCCGGGACAAGAAGTAAGCTGCTGACCACCCGAAGGAATGACCATTCGGCCCGAGGACTCAAGGTGATAAAAAATTCAATAATTGTAGTTCTCCAGTTATGATCTCTGAGATCGATGCTGTCGTATGGGTGACGTCCTCGTAGTGGTAATCCGATGGTAGAAAGCTTGTTATGATAACATAGTACGCTTTGTTTAACAAAGACAAAAACCAAACAAGTGAAGAAGATATTCATTTCAGAGGCGTTTTGCCGTCACAACTTAGTTCTTCCTTTGGCATCTCTGATTTGATTGATATACGCGAAGACTTCTGAACGGACAAATAAATAGAACATTTCGTTGCTATCCTGGATTTTTGACATCCAATGCCTGAAGTTGTTCGGCATGGGTTTAACAGGGGAGTAACAGTTATAGACACATTTTCGTCAGTGGGTTAGTGTTCAGCATTAGACTCAACTAGTGTAATAATATTTGTACCGTTGCAAAACGTAGACAGTGGAAATTCTCAAGCATGAGTCAGATTTGAACTTTTTTTTTTTCCCAAAGGTGTTCTCAGCCCGCTCTCAACATCACCGCGTGAGATTTACCATCGAATTTGTCATCTTTTGTATCGTGAGAAAAAATTTTCCAATGTTTATCAATCACCACTCAATGTTAAAAAAATTGCCTTCACGTTTAGATTTTAGAGTTTGGTAAGGTCCCCGTTTAGTCAGAATGACGTTTTATTCGCGTTAGGCGATGCTAATGGTTAGGAAATGTTTGTACACAAGGAATACACATATCAGACATATCTACAATTCTACCTTTTGTTGTGGAATGACCTGCTGCTTGCACTTAAGCTTCTCTAACAGATGACTTTATTTCCTTAGAACTGGGTTTTCATGACAGTGCACTGCTGGGGTGAGGATCCTAGAGGTTTATGGACTGTGATCGTAACCGACAATGACAACAATAATCGTGAACATTACCTGGAGAAACTCACACAGGGTGACGAAGAAGATGTTACTAGAATCTTCCTGGACGACACAGGGAAACATAGTCAAACTGGTCAGCTGTCATCCAAGAAGGACCATGCGAAGGACCATATCTTGAAAAGCATGGAAGATACAGCTGGGAAAATCTTTAAAGAAAGCAGATTTGTCAAGTTTGCTCATGGGAAGAAGTCACGGCACGTTCGTAATAGCCCTCGAGTAAAGGTTACAAAGAAAGTAAAGCATCACGCTAGAAAAGTCAAAGAAAGCAAAACTGCCCATCTGAAGAAACATTATTTGAAAACTAAAACAAATAGCAAAACTAAAATAAACAAGGAAAAACAGAGTTGGACAAAGAAAGTCATAAATCCAAATCCAAATGTTATTAAAGTAAAGCAACCAAGAAAGATGTCAAAGAAGCACGCAACCAATAAATTAACGTCGAAAACAGTGTTAAGTCAAAGCCATCAGAAGCTAAAAGCTCCATTTAAGAAGCACGACAATGGTGGAGAGAGAAAGAAACCTCATAAGGCTTCAAAACAAGAAGTAAACGCCACTTTAACTATGGCACATAAACTGACGGGCCCCTTCAGCAAATCTAGTACATCTGCTTTAGGTAACCTAAGTAGGTCTGCCAATGCCACCACAGCCCTGGGTCTCATTTCACAGTTGATATCAGAAATTCAAAAAAATCCATTGGTGACAAAAATTGCTTTGGAAGCACTGAAAAATCCTGCCATAGGAAAACTATTTGGCATCGATTCTTCCAGGGACACGGCTGAAAACATTCAGGAAAGGCTTTTGCCGACAGCAAGCATCAAACAGAAAACACAAGGTTTAGAGAATGGGTCTGAAAGTAATGGTTCAGGGTCACATATATATACGAGAATTGTTGATGGAGACAATGTTTCTAATGTAAAGGAAAAATCCAACCATCTTGAAATGGTAACACCAGGAACCATCAATTCGATTAAACAGAAACATTTTCAAGTCTTCAAGATACTTAAAGATAATGAAGAAGACTACAAAAATGATGTTAGCGGAAGTGGAATTGAAGGAAGTGAAATGTCGGGGAGTGGATACTATTTCGATGGAGGTGGGTCCGGAAATGAGGAGAACCTAAAAGCTGCCAATCATCAACTTATAAACTGTGGTGGGTCAAAGAACTGTACAGGAACTCACAGTGAAGACCCCCTTCTTTCTGTTTCAAACAAAGCACAAAAGATACTTGAAAAGGAAGAGAATTCGTACGAGATATTTGACGAGGATGATAAGGAAAGCCAGTACGGTGAAGGAGATGAAGACGAAGTCTTTGAAGATGGGTCAAGACCCGTTGGAAGTGTTGAAGACAGTGAAGATCTTATCCCAGAATTTGGGTTTGATTTGAGGGCCATCAATGAACCTGACTCATTCCTTTGTAATTTCTCGGCGGTGTTAAGCAATAGATCATCAATTGTCACCCAAAGGGCGCGTTGTGTAGAAAATGGCACAATCGAAAAACGCAATGATCAAAGAGATAAAGAAGACAAAAATCTGGCTCATTATCTGGCAGTTGATAAGTTAAAGTCAGCTTCAGGGGACTACAACCTGGATAGCGGTGATGACCAATATGGCAGCTCTTCGAAGATTGATGATGATGGTGATGACAATCAAAATATCGGTCAGGATGATTCAGATGAAAAATACAACGGCAAGGACTTGGAAGTTTTGCAGGAAGCTCTGGAAGATCAGCTCTCTCGTTTGTCGAAGGATCCAGCATCAGAAAAGTTCAACAAGGAAATTCTGGCCAGAGTCCGCGACGACATCAAACGCGGTGATATTGACGATCTGGAACTCTTAGAGGCACAGATCTCTGGCGGTAAAACTGATCTTTCCAGAGTTATTAGAAGTAGCACCCCGGAAGACCACGAAATTGATGGTCTTGATGATGCCACACAAGAAACACCAGTAATATTTGAAGGATATAATGAAGAAGGCGAAGACTTACAACGCAGAAGGATTTCACACCAAGCACTTAAAGAAAAGTCATCACAAACTTATTATGTCAACCCAGATAAATATGGAAAAGTGAATTCCGGAATATTAGAATCGTGGACGTTGATACTTTATGGAACTAAATAGCCTAGTTTGTTCTAGCGATTAGTTTTTCTTAGGCCTGCTGTTAGAATCGATTAGAACGTGAAATTGGTCTCGGGATCAATTCAAGGGATTTAGATATATAATATAGGGAAAACTTTTTTTAGTGAAAAAGAGTTTCTGGCAATGTTCTTGCAGAACAGATACCTGTTTAGTGAGTCTCCAGAAGACGTGATATATGTTAGTTTCAATGCGAAATTGTACAATTCAATTAGGTTCAGGCACCCTATTTTGGTCAAGGTGGTAGCGCAAGTTAATTCAAACCAAATGACAGACTAACGTTTTGTGCATGAGTTTAGATTGGAAACACTTGCCATTAATTTGTGTAATTTCTTTTCAGTTGCTTCATAATGGACCCCAGTATCGACTAGTACCGTGAAACAGCAATCTTTTCTCAAGGCCAGGTTACAAAATAATGCATTTTCTATACTCTCACCATTTCATCCATGAACACTGACCGTAAAAAAAAAACAAAACAAAATGATATCAGTCTCAAACAAAATATGCTCTACAGTTAAATGGCTTTTGTCTGTAGAGGGCAATTGCAACGGAAGTTAAATTATAACGAGTTAAATTCAATGTCCTACGTTTTCTATGTATCGAGAAGAACCATGACCCTGACGCAAACATATTTGAATACGTTTTAATATATAAGGTTGAAAATAAGTATTAATTGTTAGATCTTAACTTGGGCTCGTTTAATTGGGCCTGCATGCAATAATCATATGGTCCCGTTTTTTTTTGTTTTTTTTTTTAGGGGGGGGGAGGCTTTAATTGAACAATTTGAACAATGAACTGTTTTGTACGATGTCAAATCGAAAGAATAAAGAATTTCTGTGTAACCTGACTCTGATTGACTCCCCGTCTCAGGGACTGCATGCATGTGATACAGTGTTCATAGATCATATCGCAATCTGCTGCTTACGAGCCCCCTCGCTTATAAGTCCCCTTCCCCGGTTATAGGCCAATCTTCATGCAAACAAAACATCACTTCCGATTACAAGCCTCCCGGATCCTAGGCCCCGCCACCCCATCCTAAACCCCTTTAATACGAAGTTCTATAAGCCTGGGGCATATACAGCGACAGTTCACGTATCTAATCTTATGCATCGCAGGTTTTACCACAAACTCGTGCTAAGAGCCTAGGGCTGAAAACAAGTGGAGGAAACTGTTTTTCCGATAAAGACTCGCTAAGATGCACTAGCATCTACAGAGTTTCACAACTCTGCATAGCCCGCGATTTACGCTCAGCAGTTGGATTCACCTGTTCGGGGAAAAGAAAATGCCTAGGAAGACTAAATACCACACTTTGCAATCAGCCGATTGAGTGACTAGTTGGGGTAAAGAAATTGCTTGAGATGACATGCTTTGCAGTAAAATACAGTTCTACAAGGTATCGTTCTCCCCTGACTCCGTGGAAAAACTACTTATCGCTCGACTAATTATAAACTTCTCTTCAGTGGTGTGACAACATATTTATCGAGAGTCCATGCAGTTTGCGCCGGACACTGTTCGCTCGTACGACTTTCTCGACGAGTCAGTAACCAGCAGTCCCAAAGGTAGGGAATACTTTGAGTTGCTTTAAGTTTATACTTCAGCTTTGGTATTCTGGAAAATACATACAGCGCGGTATTTGTGTGGAACAGAGGTTACGGATAGGAACTTTTATAACAGAATCCATGTTAAACTAAAGGACGATCACTATTTCGTATTGTATGCTTGAAATGATACACGAAAACGGGAACAGGAATTAAAAATCAAGCGGCAGTTGCCATATGCATCAATACCAAATTATTTAAGTCACTCGAAAGATTTGAGACTCGTATAAATTACCTTATGAGTTGTAATGAAACCAGCTTAACAGGTTTCTTTTGCAGGTCACAGGTCACAGGTCACGGGTCACAGGTCACAATTAAAAAGCACTCAGTAAAACTCGCGACGTAAGAATTACCCGAGGTTTATCGATGTTTCCATGCAACAAACCTCAACTAAATATGTTTTACTGTATAATTTTAATGAAACGATTTCTAGGGATGGTATATGTACGAAATGGGTTGAAATGTAGCTTTCAGACATGTAGTGTAACATATATTTTATCGTAATAAGATAATTCATTATTATAGCAAATCGAACTGTTTTATTTCTATCTTTGTTTGAAATCTTTACAACGGGTATGTACTAAACAGAAACAAGAGTGTCCCCTATGCCTCTTCTGAAAGTTTCAAAATGGGCGCCATTTTACATCATTGGGGATGACATCCAATTCAGCGACGATGAAATAAACCAAATCAGACAAAGAGCCTTTGCCTTTTCTTGAAGACAAGAAATCACTTCAAACACTCAGATCAAAACCCACAAGAAGAAGTTATTTACATTTTTCGCTTTTAGTCATAGCAAAAGGACTTATTCCTTTGTAACGTTTTGCAAGAGTCGGGTTACACATAATTATCAGTTGAATTCTTGAAGTTGGTTCCCGTCAACCTGGATTAATCGATGATTTTCAGCAAAAGTTAATGTTTGGTCTTTGCACCTGTAGTTAGCCTGCTATTTAAATGATTTTGCGGTTCCTCATCTACATTTTCAGACGGAGGGATTCCCTGGTGAATAGATGTTACCATGTTGCATTTTCTGCCTTGCTCCCAAATTTTTAATTCCGTTGTTTGCTAACATTTTGGCGAAAGTTCAAGTCAATAGTAGAGATATCTCTTATTTCTTCAAATCAATCCAAAAAACTATCACTTGTTCCCTTGTAACAAATGAGTGTTTCCTTGTTCAACTAAACTCCTTAAGGTCTGAGAGGCTTTCAGACAAGAGCTTTTTTTTCACAGAATTTTGGCTACTTTATATAACAAAAACAAAGGTAATCATTGTCTTAAGCTAAAGCTTTAAGAACTTAGCTTAACTGCTATATTCATATTTTTTTACATGAGCAGTGTAAAACTCTCCCTAAAGAAATAGAGGGAAAACATTTTAACATTTTTTTAAAGTAAATTGAAAAAGTTCTTGATAAATTTTGAGCGATTATTAATAATTTAATTATTTTAGTTTGAGTCTAGTTTGATATTCTAATTTCATTTTTGTAGTTCATATCAAATTTAGAAAACCTCCTCCGTGGGAATAGCGAAACAACTCTGGGAAACATCACTTAGTTTACAACCATCGCTCCTCTTTATGTTCTTTATTTTTCTTTATTTTTATTTTTGTAACACCTTAATTAAGAAACAGATGAGAGTGTTATATTCCCACTTTATTTTAAGCACCACCCATAGGTCGCAATTATTATAAATGCACCAAACTATTCAAGCAAGCTATCGGTAATCAGCACTTCACATTCACTGACCAGTCACACAGTTTAGTCTCCGCATTGTACAACTGACCGGGTGGACAGTTGTTCTCGAACATGACACCACCATGGCACAGGTAATATTTGGAACAATCAGATGAGTTTAGATACTGACCATCTGGTTTCTCTGCGCAACCAGAAGAAGCTGTATAATAAAAAAAAAGAACATGAACCAACAAAGAGCCAAAGAGATTGACAATAATGCTAAAACTACTACTAATCCATCAAGTCTAATCAAAAGAAATCATAATCGACAGTGCTTTAGACATCTGATTGTAATTTGTATAGATTTCGTATTGAATTCCTCCGATCAAGAGATGATGATGTAAGAGAACACACACATAGATGCATGAACCTATTCCAAAGACAATTTTATGGCATCTATTTGTAGTGGACTAGGCAATGGCTGTTTTAAGAAGATTCGCCTGTTTTGTTATAGTACGTGAAAAATCTGGATCCTTCAACGAGCTATGAGATCTCAAAACTTAGGAAACATAAGTATCACGTGTTACGAATGTAATAGCAGATTCAGAAAATTGTCTTAGAGAACTTTGAATTGTCCTCCAATATCACCATATCTTGTTCTGATTAATGTATTTTCCTATTGGTGTTTGGAAATGTGATGAAACACTGCCTCTCTTGTTTTTTATTTTAAACACATGAAAAATTACAGAATACCTTCCTTCGGTTAAAAGTACATTTGTTTCAATTAATATGGGTCATGGCAGTACCTTGTTTAGTTCCTTGACCTGGGCTCGAAGGCCTCACTATTAAGGTGTCTTTCAAAAGAGCGAACACATGGTCAGAATATCTGCTCCCATCAATAATGTTATTCTGGTCCCAAGAGACGTCCCACAGCATTATCCCACCAAGGCATGGCTTTATTTTGAACTTCTGCAAAAAGAATTGAACGGCTAGTTTTGTAACTTAGTTGAAAGATTCGTTGTTTTAATGTGTTTGAACATTGCAGCTGAAAACAGCAAAGACAAAAAAGGTTCAACAAAAGTCCCTAACGGCCCCAAAGGGTATGTTTTTTCAGCCGTTTTGGTCATAAATAGGGTATCGATTTTGGCCATTCTGGTCTTAAATAGGGTATGGTTTTTGTACCCTAGTCTTGAACTGGGTATGTTGTTTGGAAGAAGCTACTTTTCCATCATTATCGATAAGACCATAAACAAAAGCCCTTCAAAAGTTATGTTTGGGGCCACTCTGTCAGCCGCAACGGTCATAAGTAGGGTATCGAATTTTTGGTCTGGTCACAAATAGGGTCGGGGAAAATCGCAGATTTTGGTCATAAATACTAGTAAAGGGTTTTGGAAGCAGGCCTCACACGCCCACCAATTTTTTCTGAGAGTACTCCTCCCCTCCCACCCCCCACCCCCACCCCCGGATCAAAACACGATAATACTTTCCTTAGCCAGTGAAGATCCTCAATAAACATAAATAAAAGATGACATGAAGCTAACAAACCTCATAAATGACTTGTAATTCTTTGGGTGACCTATATTGAATGGCGTCAATAGAGGCTGAAGCATGAGCTGGCAACCCAACAAAGACCAGAGGCCCATTATTTGATTGCGCAAAATACAGCCATTTGTCCAATGTTGTAAGGAATGACGTTTGATTACCAGTGTGACAATAATCGTCGTAGAATTTAACGAAGAGGTAGTCAACATACTCGCTTGCCTCCTTCAAGGCTGAATAAAAATGAAAACAAGGTTATGCTGAAACATTGATATCGAAACAACACAGCATAAATAATTATCAGTTTTTTGCTAATGGTTGGGTACTAGACTCTGGTTTGTGATGTACTGGTTGGCAGGGTCATGGTGTAGTGATCTTTGGAAGACTCTCCACTTATAGTTCCTCTATTCCCCCAGGAATCTAAATGGGCCACAACGACTTAAATGCTGGGGCAACCCTTTGCTTTACTTGCATTTTATTAGAGGGTCAGGTTTGGAAGTAGTAATACTTCTAGACGCCTCGTTGAACGCCAGCGTAATGTCCCATTAGGTTCGAATGCTGACTTCACGTTTCCCTGTATTATAGTACAGATTTAGGACGATGGTGTTCGTTTACCGTACCTAAATTCGCAATATGCCAATCAGAAGCCATCTCTACTGCGATGGTGTCCTGCGATATCCAGTGACTGACCTGATATGGCTACGATATCAAACTATATCTGATGGTCATTTAGCCCAATTTTGGGTACGGTAAATACCTAACGTACCTTTTTTAGTAGGCTTGGTAGCATATCAGGCTCGTTTGGTCTCGCCGTGGGAATTTTGGCATGATGTAAATACTGGAACCATGCCTCGACCAAACTCGCCTGCTATGCCATCGAAGCGTGCCATGAAGGCACTATTGAGTATAAGTATCGCACTGCGCGCGTTACCGTGAAAAGCCCCGCTTAGCGGCGAACAAACATGAAAAAAGTAAAAGTTCCTAGGGCACTTCATAGAGGGTTTTTACCAGTTCCTTTTCGTTCTGGTCCCAAAATATGGTCAGGATACGGACATTGAGGTGCGGCTGTTATCAGATAGCTTCTCTTAGCTACGCCTGTCTCGGAATCCATGAGCCTGCGTAGTTCCCGTATGAAATCAGGATAGAATTCAGGCCCTCCCCCTTCGATACTGAGATCCACACCGTCCATTACTGCCCTTTGAGGATAAAACAAATTATCATGAAAAATCATAATATTTTGTTCTGCAAGCTCCTATGTAACTTCGTCTATAGCTGTTAAAACTATTTCATAATCGTGATGCATGCAGTGTATGATTGAACCAAAGTTTATTAATCTTAATCAATTAATCAGCTGAAATATGGGCTTGATTTCTGTTTCTCTCCCTTCTCTCCTGCAACGACTGGCAATAGGATCGAAGCTAAGGCAAATTTTACACTAATATACTTTATCTTTGATCTTTGATCTTTGAACGAGAATTGAAAACTTACTTCTAGGCTTTCAAAATGTAGTGAAGTCGCCAACCATCATCTGTCCTGGTCAATAATTTGTCTCGGTTGTTGGATGAATTGGCTAAAATTGTACGCTGGCAATTGAGCAGTCAGACTCTCGAACGTGCAAGTGGGGGATGCCACTCTCCCATAAGTTTTTTTCGAATTTTTGAAAAGACAATTTACTCTAAGGGGCTGAAACTTTCAACAGCTCTTCATTGATCCTCTCCAGAAAATTTGATATGTTAATTGTGTGTCTTATCATTTTTGGCGTTGCCATGGCAACTGCAAATTTCACGTGGGTTTAGCCAAAAATCAACTTTTTTGGCATAATTCTGTAGTTTTTCCAGTTTTATTCATCAAACTGTAGAAATTGACGAATTTGTATATTTTATATTTTGTATTAATTTCCGTTAATTCATGACTTTTTGATGGAGGATCCAAGATGGCGAGTCAAATGACGTCATGATCAACAAAAATGGCATCAACTTGTAGAGTAAGCCCAGGGCTATGTAATCAATGTAAATTTATTCCGCTGTGCCTTAACAGAACGAAAACCCAAGGGGGGTTCCCCCCACCTTGTACCGCGATGGGGGTATGAGTTAGCTTGTACGTCCGTTGGTTATTAAGAGAAACAGGCTTCGGAGTAAGGACAGCTATAAGCCCATGGACTCCTTTTGATAACAGAGCCAGCTTTGACTCTGACTTGCATGCGGTTACACTGGATTAAATACAGAAAGGTGTATATGTGAGTAGCGCTTACGATCCAAACGGTCTGAGGCTGAGCTCCTTTGTTCTTCGATCACCGCCAAGAAACAAGTCGTATAAGTTCTGGGCAAACTGCCTTGCATTAACCACAGAGAAAAGAGTTCCAGCTGCACCTACTCCTGCGATAGAAATCAGCACTTTCTTTCCAAGTCGTTGACATTCTCTTATTCCTTCTTCAATTTCGGGGCAACGGAGAAGAGAAGGGTTTGTTTTGGAGATACTCCGAGTACAGTGATCCGCAAAGTTTAAGGCAGGCAAAGAATCTAAAAGAAAAAAATACAAATATATTTTAAAGTACATTTTAAAAGTAACCTAAAATATACGTAGTAGACTATAACAAATTGTGATAACTAAATTTTTGAACGGACTGAAAATGTTTAAAATACCAATCGAAAAGCTTGATATTTTTGTAAAATGCTTTTTTGTATCGTTTTGTTTTGAAAGAATTGGCCAAGCTTTACAAGTTTTTCGTTTGCAATCCATTTTATTTTCGCGAGCAATAATCACTCATGTTCATTTGCTGACGTTTTCTGCCTTAAAAAACTATTATTCTGGTCTTCCTCCACTGGAAAAGGAAATTTGTACGTTAGANACGCTCAGCAGTTGGATTCACCTGTTCGGGGAAAAGAAAATGCCTAGGAAGACTAAATACCACACTTTGCAATCAGCCGATTGAGTGACTAGTTGGGGTAAAGAAATTGCTTGAGATGACATGCTTTGCAGTAAAATACAGTTCTACAAGGTATCGTTCTCCCCTGACTCCGTGGAAAAACTACTTATCGCTCGACTAATTATAAACTTCTCTTCAGTGGTGTGACAACATATTTATCGAGAGTCCATGCAGTTTGCGCCGGACACTGTTCGCTCGTACGACTTTCTCGACGAGTCAGTAACCAGCAGTCCCAAAGGTAGGGAATACTTTGAGTTGCTTTAAGTTTATACTTCAGCTTTGGTATTCTGGAAAATACATACAGCGCGGTATTTGTGTGGAACAGAGGTTACGGATAGGAACTTTTATAACAGAATCCATGTTAAACTAAAGGACGATCACTATTTCGTATTGTATGCTTGAAATGATACACGAAAACGGGAACAGGAATTAAAAATCAAGCGGCAGTTGCCATATGCATCAATACCAAATTATTTAAGTCACTCGAAAGATTTGAGACTCGTATAAATTACCTTATGAGTTGTAATGAAACCAGCTTAACAGGTTTCTTTTGCAGGTCACAGGTCACAGGTCACGGGTCACAGGTCACAATTAAAAAGCACTCAGTAAAACTCGCGACGTAAGAATTACCCGAGGTTTATCGATGTTTCCATGCAACAAACCTCAACTAAATATGTTTTACTGTATAATTTTAATGAAACGATTTCTAGGGATGGTATATGTACGAAATGGGTTGAAATGTAGCTTTCAGACATGTAGTGTAACATATATTTTATCGTAATAAGATAATTCATTATTATAGCAAATCGAACTGTTTTATTTCTATCTTTGTTTGAAATCTTTACAACGGGTATGTACTAAACAGAAACAAGAGTGTCCCCTATGCCTCTTCTGAAAGTTTCAAAATGGGCGCCATTTTACATCATTGGGGATGACATCCAATTCAGCGACGATGAAATAAACCAAATCAGACAAAGAGCCTTTGCCTTTTCTTGAAGACAAGAAATCACTTCAAACACTCAGATCAAAACCCACAAGAAGAAGTTATTTACATTTTTCGCTTTTAGTCATAGCAAAAGGACTTATTCCTTTGTAACGTTTTGCAAGAGTCGGGTTACACATAATTATCAGTTGAATTCTTGAAGTTGGTTCCCGTCAACCTGGATTAATCGATGATTTTCAGCAAAAGTTAATGTTTGGTCTTTGCACCTGTAGTTAGCCTGCTATTTAAATGATTTTGCGGTTCCTCATCTACATTTTCAGACGGAGGGATTCCCTGGTGAATAGATGTTACCATGTTGCATTTTCTGCCTTGCTCCCAAATTTTTAATTCCGTTGTTTGCTAACATTTTGGCGAAAGTTCAAGTCAATAGTAGAGATATCTCTTATTTCTTCAAATCAATCCAAAAAACTATCACTTGTTCCCTTGTAACAAATGAGTGTTTCCTTGTTCAACTAAACTCCTTAAGGTCTGAGAGGCTTTCAGACAAGAGCTTTTTTTTCACAGAATTTTGGCTACTTTATATAACAAAAACAAAGGTAATCATTGTCTTAAGCTAAAGCTTTAAGAACTTAGCTTAACTGCTATATTCATATTTTTTTACATGAGCAGTGTAAAACTCTCCCTAAAGAAATAGAGGGAAAACATTTTAACATTTTTTTAAAGTAAATTGAAAAAGTTCTTGATAAATTTTGAGCGATTATTAATAATTTAATTATTTTAGTTTGAGTCTAGTTTGATATTCTAATTTCATTTTTGTAGTTCATATCAAATTTAGAAAACCTCCTCCGTGGGAATAGCGAAACAACTCTGGGAAACATCACTTAGTTTACAACCATCGCTCCTCTTTATGTTCTTTATTTTTCTTTATTTTTATTTTTGTAACACCTTAATTAAGAAACAGATGAGAGTGTTATATTCCCACTTTATTTTAAGCACCACCCATAGGTCGCAATTATTATAAATGCACCAAACTATTCAAGCAAGCTATCGGTAATCAGCACTTCACATTCACTGACCAGTCACACAGTTTAGTCTCCGCATTGTACAACTGACCGGGTGGACAGTTGTTCTCGAACATGACACCACCATGGCACAGGTAATATTTGGAACAATCAGATGAGTTTAGATACTGACCATCTGGTTTCTCTGCGCAACCAGAAGAAGCTGTATAATAAAAAAAAAGAACATGAACCAACAAAGAGCCAAAGAGATTGACAATAATGCTAAAACTACTACTAATCCATCAAGTCTAATCAAAAGAAATCATAATCGACAGTGCTTTAGACATCTGATTGTAATTTGTATAGATTTCGTATTGAATTCCTCCGATCAAGAGATGATGATGTAAGAGAACACACACATAGATGCATGAACCTATTCCAAAGACAATTTTATGGCATCTATTTGTAGTGGACTAGGCAATGGCTGTTTTAAGAAGATTCGCCTGTTTTGTTATAGTACGTGAAAAATCTGGATCCTTCAACGAGCTATGAGATCTCAAAACTTAGGAAACATAAGTATCACGTGTTACGAATGTAATAGCAGATTCAGAAAATTGTCTTAGAGAACTTTGAATTGTCCTCCAATATCACCATATCTTGTTCTGATTAATGTATTTTCCTATTGGTGTTTGGAAATGTGATGAAACACTGCCTCTCTTGTTTTTTATTTTAAACACATGAAAAATTACAGAATACCTTCCTTCGGTTAAAAGTACATTTGTTTCAATTAATATGGGTCATGGCAGTACCTTGTTTAGTTCCTTGACCTGGGCTCGAAGGCCTCACTATTAAGGTGTCTTTCAAAAGAGCGAACACATGGTCAGAATATCTGCTCCCATCAATAATGTTATTCTGGTCCCAAGAGACGTCCCACAGCATTATCCCACCAAGGCATGGCTTTATTTTGAACTTCTGCAAAAAGAATTGAACGGCTAGTTTTGTAACTTAGTTGAAAGATTCGTTGTTTTAATGTGTTTGAACATTGCAGCTGAAAACAGCAAAGACAAAAAAGGTTCAACAAAAGTCCCTAACGGCCCCAAAGGGTATGTTTTTTCAGCCGTTTTGGTCATAAATAGGGTATCGATTTTGGCCATTCTGGTCTTAAATAGGGTATGGTTTTTGTACCCTAGTCTTGAACTGGGTATGTTGTTTGGAAGAAGCTACTTTTCCATCATTATCGATAAGACCATAAACAAAAGCCCTTCAAAAGTTATGTTTGGGGCCACTCTGTCAGCCGCAACGGTCATAAGTAGGGTATCGAATTTTTGGTCTGGTCACAAATAGGGTCGGGGAAAATCGCAGATTTTGGTCATAAATACTAGTAAAGGGTTTTGGAAGCAGGCCTCACACGCCCACCAATTTTTTCTGAGAGTACTCCTCCCCTCCCACCCCCCACCCCCACCCCCGGATCAAAACACGATAATACTTTCCTTAGCCAGTGAAGATCCTCAATAAACATAAATAAAAGATGACATGAAGCTAACAAACCTCATAAATGACTTGTAATTCTTTGGGTGACCTATATTGAATGGCGTCAATAGAGGCTGAAGCATGAGCTGGCAACCCAACAAAGACCAGAGGCCCATTATTTGATTGCGCAAAATACAGCCATTTGTCCAATGTTGTAAGGAATGACGTTTGATTACCAGTGTGACAATAATCGTCGTAGAATTTAACGAAGAGGTAGTCAACATACTCGCTTGCCTCCTTCAAGGCTGAATAAAAATGAAAACAAGGTTATGCTGAAACATTGATATCGAAACAACACAGCATAAATAATTATCAGTTTTTTGCTAATGGTTGGGTACTAGACTCTGGTTTGTGATGTACTGGTTGGCAGGGTCATGGTGTAGTGATCTTTGGAAGACTCTCCACTTATAGTTCCTCTATTCCCCCAGGAATCTAAATGGGCCACAACGACTTAAATGCTGGGGCAACCCTTTGCTTTACTTGCATTTTATTAGAGGGTCAGGTTTGGAAGTAGTAATACTTCTAGACGCCTCGTTGAACGCCAGCGTAATGTCCCATTAGGTTCGAATGCTGACTTCACGTTTCCCTGTATTATAGTACAGATTTAGGACGATGGTGTTCGTTTACCGTACCTAAATTCGCAATATGCCAATCAGAAGCCATCTCTACTGCGATGGTGTCCTGCGATATCCAGTGACTGACCTGATATGGCTACGATATCAAACTATATCTGATGGTCATTTAGCCCAATTTTGGGTACGGTAAATACCTAACGTACCTTTTTTAGTAGGCTTGGTAGCATATCAGGCTCGTTTGGTCTCGCCGTGGGAATTTTGGCATGATGTAAATACTGGAACCATGCCTCGACCAAACTCGCCTGCTATGCCATCGAAGCGTGCCATGAAGGCACTATTGAGTATAAGTATCGCACTGCGCGCGTTACCGTGAAAAGCCCCGCTTAGCGGCGAACAAACATGAAAAAAGTAAAAGTTCCTAGGGCACTTCATAGAGGGTTTTTACCAGTTCCTTTTCGTTCTGGTCCCAAAATATGGTCAGGATACGGACATTGAGGTGCGGCTGTTATCAGATAGCTTCTCTTAGCTACGCCTGTCTCGGAATCCATGAGCCTGCGTAGTTCCCGTATGAAATCAGGATAGAATTCAGGCCCTCCCCCTTCGATACTGAGATCCACACCGTCCATTACTGCCCTTTGAGGATAAAACAAATTATCATGAAAAATCATAATATTTTGTTCTGCAAGCTCCTATGTAACTTCGTCTATAGCTGTTAAAACTATTTCATAATCGTGATGCATGCAGTGTATGATTGAACCAAAGTTTATTAATCTTAATCAATTAATCAGCTGAAATATGGGCTTGATTTCTGTTTCTCTCCCTTCTCTCCTGCAACGACTGGCAATAGGATCGAAGCTAAGGCAAATTTTACACTAATATACTTTATCTTTGATCTTTGATCTTTGAACGAGAATTGAAAACTTACTTCTAGGCTTTCAAAATGTAGTGAAGTCGCCAACCATCATCTGTCCTGGTCAATAATTTGTCTCGGTTGTTGGATGAATTGGCTAAAATTGTACGCTGGCAATTGAGCAGTCAGACTCTCGAACGTGCAAGTGGGGGATGCCACTCTCCCATAAGTTTTTTTCGAATTTTTGAAAAGACAATTTACTCTAAGGGGCTGAAACTTTCAACAGCTCTTCATTGATCCTCTCCAGAAAATTTGATATGTTAATTGTGTGTCTTATCATTTTTGGCGTTGCCATGGCAACTGCAAATTTCACGTGGGTTTAGCCAAAAATCAACTTTTTTGGCATAATTCTGTAGTTTTTCCAGTTTTATTCATCAAACTGTAGAAATTGACGAATTTGTATATTTTATATTTTGTATTAATTTCCGTTAATTCATGACTTTTTGATGGAGGATCCAAGATGGCGAGTCAAATGACGTCATGATCAACAAAAATGGCATCAACTTGTAGAGTAAGCCCAGGGCTATGTAATCAATGTAAATTTATTCCGCTGTGCCTTAACAGAACGAAAACCCAAGGGGGGTTCCCCCCACCTTGTACCGCGATGGGGGTATGAGTTAGCTTGTACGTCCGTTGGTTATTAAGAGAAACAGGCTTCGGAGTAAGGACAGCTATAAGCCCATGGACTCCTTTTGATAACAGAGCCAGCTTTGACTCTGACTTGCATGCGGTTACACTGGATTAAATACAGAAAGGTGTATATGTGAGTAGCGCTTACGATCCAAACGGTCTGAGGCTGAGCTCCTTTGTTCTTCGATCACCGCCAAGAAACAAGTCGTATAAGTTCTGGGCAAACTGCCTTGCATTAACCACAGAGAAAAGAGTTCCAGCTGCACCTACTCCTGCGATAGAAATCAGCACTTTCTTTCCAAGTCGTTGACATTCTCTTATTCCTTCTTCAATTTCGGGGCAACGGAGAAGAGAAGGGTTTGTTTTGGAGATACTCCGAGTACAGTGATCCGCAAAGTTTAAGGCAGGCAAAGAATCTAAAAGAAAAAAATACAAATATATTTTAAAGTACATTTTAAAAGTAACCTAAAATATACGTAGTAGACTATAACAAATTGTGATAACTAAATTTTTGAACGGACTGAAAATGTTTAAAATACCAATCGAAAAGCTTGATATTTTTGTAAAATGCTTTTTTGTATCGTTTTGTTTTGAAAGAATTGGCCAAGCTTTACAAGTTTTTCGTTTGCAATCCATTTTATTTTCGCGAGCAATAATCACTCATGTTCATTTGCTGACGTTTTCTGCCTTAAAAAACTATTATTCTGGTCTTCCTCCACTGGAAAAGGAAATTTGTACGTTAGAGACATAATTTTAAATACCGTGACACTGCCCCTCAAGGGTGTTTCCTGACGGGAAATCTGCCGATTGTACACATAACTGATTCTCGTAAATATTAGCAACGGACGGAGATTCGACGTTTGTTACAAATACTTTCTCAGTTTTTTAATTTTACCTTGATTTCCGGAGTCGAAGAACGCGCTGAGGAATGCAATATTCAAGATATCATACTTGCTGGTCTGACACACTTCTTTCAGTGGCTTCTCGTTATCATTACCCGGGCGTACCGCGGCGATATTCTGACCCCAGTACCCAGCTAATAGTTGCCGTCCAGTGCTTGAAGTAGCAGCTGTTAATTCATAAACAACAGAAGGGATAACTTCCTAATACCCTGCCCCCAATTCAATGCACAGGTGATGCGGTCTGCGATGTCTTAGACGTAAGAAACATTAAGCACTTAATGACTGGCCCCAAGGGAAACAAACCTCACTGTTTCCCGCGGGACCAGTCATTAAATGTTTTGTGATACCTTCCAACTCAAAAATAGAAAAAAAATGCGAAGACATCGTTTGCTTGACGCCGGCTGGCTCACAAATTTG